GGGAGGGGGGGGAGGGGAGGGAAGGGGGTCATGGATACAATGTTGATAGGTGTGGCTACGGCATGGACCCGTGTGGGTGGGTGGGTGGGGAAGGGGAGGGGGAAGAGGGAGGGAGGGGAGGAGGCAAGGAGGCCGAGGAGGGGGAAGACGGAGGGAGGGAGGGAGGGAGGGAGGGAGGGGGAGGAGACAAGGAAGCAAGGAGGCAAGGAGGCAGGGGGGAGGGGGGGGGGGTGGATTCAGGGATGTAAGGAGGCAGACAGGGGGGTAGAGTGGGCGGGCACAAGGTGCAGGCAGACAGACAGACAGACAGAGCAGGCCATGGCGTAACTCATGCGGGGGACGCGGTGGTTGCGGCTGATGAGGACAGGAAAATCGCGGAGAAGATCAACTCGCTCGCACTCTCGCCGAACCAAGACGCGTACATTCTCAAAATCCGGCTGGAGGAGATTGCGGTGGCGCTCGAGGCAAAGTACGCGTCGGATCCGCTCGAGCTTGTGCGGGTCATCCTGTACGTGCTCGGCCACGAGCGCGAGATCCTGGAGACCGGCGGAACCAAGACCAAGTTTGCCATGCACTCATCGTCGTTCTCGTCAACCTCGTATGGCATGGACGTGTCCAAGCTCAACGACGCCTCGCTCAACGCTGAGATCCAAAAGCTGCAGGAGCACACGGCCGAGACCGAGGCTGCGCTTGCGCAACTGCTACAGGACCAAGAGTACCTGGTCATCTGGCACCAGGACTGGGACGAGCTCAACGCTCGGGCCCAGGCCGCGTCGGGCGCGCAGGCCAAGGCACTTGCCGCTGAGTGCCACACCTTGCGTGGGAACATCATGCAGGCACAAGAGGGCATTCTGCGGACGCGGCGCGAGATTCTCGAGGCGCATGTCGGCGCCATCACCCACTCGGAGCAGGTCCTCTCTATCCTGCTGGCCAAGCTCAAGCAGTGGAAGGCAGTCCAGCGAAAGCAGACCATGGACGAGTCCTTCCTCAACGACGTGCTCAACCACATGCAGCTCCAGTTCGAGTCGCTTGCAGACGTATACTGGAACATCCGCCACCAGCTCCGCCAGCACGAGGTCCAGCGCGAGCAGCTCGATTGCGGCGACGAGAACGAGTCGGCCGTCTTTGATCAGCTCTCGACCCAGCTCCACGCCCAGCTCGAGACTCTCCTCCGTGCTTCGTTTGTCATTGTTGAGCAGCCGCCGCAGGTCATGAAGACGTCGACCAAGTTCTCGTCTGCTGCCCGCATTCTCGTCGGCGGCAAGCTCAACATGCACCTCTCGCCGCCAGAAGTCAACCTTCAACTCGTCAATGAGCCGCAGGCCACCGCGCTCGTCAACGACGACGAGCTCATCGGAAACTCGGGCGACTTGCTCAACGGCAAGCAGATGATGGCGTACTCCGAGTCGACCCGGACCCTCCAGGCTACCTTTAAGAACCTCTCACTCAAGAAGATCCGCCGCCACTCGGCCCGCAAGGAGGTGGTGACCGAAGAGAAGCTCGCCCTCATCTTTGTCACCTCGGTCCAGCTCGGCGACCTGACCTACAACCTGTGGACCATGTCGGTCCCTGTCGTCGTCATCGTCCACAACAACCAGCTCGTCCGCGCCACCGCCACCGTGTTTTGGGACAACTCATTCGGCAAGACCGACCGCGCCCTGTGGGAGGTCCCCGACGCCGTCCGCTGGCCCAAGTTTGCTGCCGGTCTCAACCACTTTTTCACCCTCGCCAACGGCCGCCCGCTCACCCCCGACGCCCTCAACTTTCTCGGCTCCAAGCTCCTCGAGCCCGGCGAGGACACCGTTGAGTGGCGCACCTTTTCCAAGGACAACCTCCGCAACCGCTCCTTCACCTTTTGGGAGTGGTTCTACGCCATCGTCGAGCTCGTCCGCAAGCACCTCGCCGGCCCCTGGATCGATGGCCTCGTCGTCGGCTTTGTCTCAAAGTCCGCCGCCTCGGAAGCCCTCATGCACCAGCCACGCGGCACCTTTCTCATGCGCTTTTCAGACTCGGAGCTCGGCGGCGTCTCGGTCTCGTGGAACGTCGTCGACGGCGCAACAGGCACGTCCAAAGTCTACAACCTCCAGCCGTGGTTCGAGAAGGACCTCGCCATCCGCTCGCTCCCAGACTGCATCAAGGACCTCGACCAGCTCCGGATACTGTATCCGGGCACACCCAAGGACGACGCCTTTGCAAAGTACTACTCGGAGGAAAAGGTTGTCGTCGGCGACGGCGACTACGTCCGCGCCACCATCAACGCCGCCATCATCGGTGACGAAGACGCCACAGGTACCCTCGACTCAATCGCCACCAGCTCTACCCTCTCCACCATGGACTTCAACACTGGCTCGCTCGAGTACGACTCGCTCGCCGCCATCACGGGCTTCCCCATGTCCTCGTACATGGGCGTCGGCCTCGACAGGCCTCGACGTCGGCGGTCCCTCGGGCGTCGCCGTCTCGGTCCCCATGGCCGTCACCAACCCGCCCCATCTGCCCCAGGACCTCGCCGCCGTGGACTACAACTCTTACGGCGCGCCCGAGGCCATCACCTTTCCCTCGATGATCGACATCGAGGCTCCGGCGACCATGGATGAGTGACCGCGCGTCACATGGTCTGGCAACATAACATGCACGTCCACTAGCCTGCCGTCCACCGCCTTCATCCTGCTGTTGTTACTCCTCCCAAGCCACTGTCGCACTGTTGCGCCCGCTCTTGACAAGCCGCATTGTGCTGACGCCCGGCTGACGGCCCGATCCGAGCGCAAGCACCTTGTCGGTTGCACCGGCGGCGTACCGGAACTCGTCGACCACGCCGAGGCCCGGCCCGGTGTACATGTCGTGGCTTACCAGCCGCGCCACAAGCTCGACTGCGCCCGGTGTCGAGCCGACCCACGACGAACCGTCGGCAAATCCGATGAGCACAAAGCCATCGCCGACCCGCGAGATCTGGACCGCTGAGACCTCGGCTACAGCGTGCGAGTCCTTGAGCGTCAGCGACTTGTCGGCCTTGAGCCGAAAGACCTGGTTGACGGAGAGCGCCAGTATGTTGTCGTCGAGCTTGAAAGACCGGTTGACCTTGGCAAACGCCGCCGAGAACACAACCTCGAGACCGCGTTGTGCCACAGACTTGCACCGCCGTGCCACGTCCACCGAGTCGCCAACAAGCTCGAGCTCGTCGTCGCTTAGCGTCGCGCCCTTACCCATGCTCGTCAGCACTGTAGCCATTGCGTGTCGCACACGCGTCCGCGGCGTCGCCGCTTGCGGATCGTCGTTTCGCACAGCCTCGGCGCTGGCCGCGTCTTCCCGTTGGAGGCCTGACGCGAGCCGGCTTCGTCGCTTCCGCTTCCGCCGCCGCTTGCTCGCGCCGCTGGCAGCCTCGACATCGGCATTCGAGTGCCGCTCGTCGGCCTCGGTCGCGACCTTGTCGCCCTCGCCCTCGCCCCCGCCCCCGCCCTCACCCTCGCCCTCGTTCCCGCTCTCGCTCTCACATGTCGACGACGACGAGAAGAGCGAGCCGGTCGATTCCGACTCGCTCTCGTCGCCGGCGACTAGCGCTGCCTCGACGTCCAAGTCCATCGACTCTAGAAGCTGCTTCGTGAGCGCGAGCGCGGGGGTGCGGACCTGGAGCTCGTGGCGGACCCGAGCGGCCGCCGACGTTCGCAGCGCCACCACTGCAGGTGTGCTGAGCGCTGGCAGGACATCCAAAAGCGCAAAGTATCCGTCCTGCCAGGCCCGCGCCTCAGCCCGCGCCGCTGCTGCCGCCGTCTCGGCTCGCTCGCGCTCGTTTTCGGCGGCGCGAAGAGCGGCGGTCGCTCCTTCTTCCGCCGCTCCGGCTGCGGCCTCTTGCTCCGCCAGCCGCGCACGGACTTCTGCCGCGGCGTCTTCCAACTCGACAATGCGCGCAGCAGCAGCCGCATCGGCAGCCACGCGCTCGGCCGCTACTGCCTCTGCTGCCTGACGGGCAGCAGCAAGCTCAGCACCGAGCGCCTGCAATTCGGCGCCAACCGCGGCCTTGGCCTCGGCCGACGGCGCTGACGATGCGGCCAATGCCTCGGCCGAGTCAGCAGCAAGCGCTACGAGTTCTGCGCGGGCGACCTCGAGCTTGTTAGCGGTTGCTGCCGAGTCAGCAGCAAGCGCTTCGACGCTTGCAAGCACCGTCTCGATGTCGGCATCGGCCTCAGCACGGACCCGGTCGAGCTCTGTGGCAAACCACTGGGCAGCGTCGGCGGCCGCCTCGCGTGTATGCTCGAGCTCAAGCTCGACTGCCGCCAGCGCCGCCGCCTGCGCGTTCTTGTCGGCAGCGAGGACCGCAAGCTGAGCGCGGAGCGCGTCTTCGACGCTCGCTGACTCGGCGAGGCGATGGACAAGCGACTCGTTCTCGGCATGCGCAGCCGCCAACTGGTCGGCAGCGGAAACAAGCGCCGCATCGTGGGTGCTGGACGCATGCGCAAGCGCCAAATGTGCATCCTCCAGCGCAGACTTGAGCTTGGAGTCGTCGTCGGCGCGTGGCTCGGTAGCACGTGCTTGCGCCGCGTCTGAGAGGGCGGCGGCGGTTGCGGCCTCGGCCGCTGACAGCGCCCGTTCCTTGTCTGCAATCGCTGCGTTTGCAGCGACCAGCGCGTCCGAGAGCTCTGCAACTCGCGCTGTGGCGCGAGCGGCGTCCGAGGCGGCAGTGTCAGCGGCGAGCTTGTTGGCGACAAGCTTGCCCGAGAGCGCTGCGAGCGACGCGTACAGCGTGTCCTCGGCCTCAAGCGAAGTCTGCAGCTGAGCAGAGAGCTCGGCTTCTCGCGCGGCGGCAGTTGCGGCGGCAGCACGGAGTTCGGCCTGTAGGCTGTGGAGTCGCGACTCGAGCTGGGCCGACGACGACGTGCTTGTCGTCTGGGCCTCAAGGACTGCCATCTCAAGCTTGACCTTGTCGCTCCGCTCGAGCGAGAGCGCGGTTTCTGCGGCGCGAAGCGCCCTCTGCGCAGCCGAGGCGTCGGCGGCAGCCGTGGCGGCGGCAGCCTCGAGCGCGGCCATTCGTGCGTTGGCGGCAGTGAGCTCGGCAGAGGCGGCGGCAAAGTCGGCTTCGAGTCGAGACGCGGCAGCGCGGGCATCCAGCGCGTCGCGTGCTGCACGGTCAGCAGCAGCAGCGTTGGCAGCGTCAAGCTTGGCGCGCCACTCTTGGTTGGCAGCTGCAAGCTTGGCAAACGACGCATCGAGCGAGGCCTGCAGCGCATCCCGCTCATCAGTGAGCTTGGTGATGGTCTGCTGCGCTTTGGCGAGCGCGGCCGCCGATGCGGCTTCATTGGCGCTGACCGACGCGCCGCGCGCGCGGGCACCGCGCTGCCTATTGGCGGCAGGCTCGAGCTGAGAGTCAGACACTGTCGGCGGTGGGCGCGGGTCTGGCGGCAGCGGGCGCGAGACGGCCTTGACCTGCGGATTCGCTCGGACAAAGTCCTGCGAAAGGCGCCGAACGACAGCCTCCATCTTGACCGCGCGCAAATGCGCAGATGAAAGGTTCGAGTCGGAGAGCATCGGATCAGAGCCATCGCCGGCGGCGCCTCGCGGCGGCGTGACAATGGTTGGCGGACGAAGGATGGAGCCACGGCGGCCGGGGCGGGCGGCACGGGCCATGGCGGCCGAGGCCGCCAGCGACTCGAGGGCAGCCGAGTGCGGAGTGGCCTTGCGGGCCGCAAGTCTGCGGGCTGCCAGAGACTTTGGAGAGTCAGACGTCGGCGAGCCGAGTGGAGAGCTGGGGGCGGAGGCGGCGTCGGCGAGGGCGGAGACCGGCTCGCTGGCGACGTACTCTTGGACGACGGCGTCAGAGAAGGAGAGACGCGGCGTGCGGGATGCTGGGGGCTCGGGCTCGCGGCGCAGCGCCGCGTTGGCCTTTTCCAGCACATCCATGGCATGTAGCTTGACCCGCAGGATCCTGCTCCTGTCGGAGGAGTTGAACTGGCCGTCTTCCCACTCGTCGTCATCCTCATCGGCGTCATCTGTCGGCGGCGCTGAGAACCGCGACGACGACGATGGCGACCTCGGCGGCGGCACAGCCGGCGGGCCGGCCACAAGATCCTGTACGGCCTCGGCCATAGCATCTAGCTCTTCCATAGCCGGCGTATCTCTCCGGCGCATCGACCGTCTCGAGCCAACACTTGTCCCCAACGATGCCGATGCATCCGATGCGGCGACAGACGCATCAGCCCCAGGCCCGGTACCACTCTGTTCAGCACGATACGCTCTGGCATGCCTCCGACAGAACAGTATGCCGCCTTCAAACTTAGCCATGGAGAGCTTGAGCTCTTTCTGGCAAGATTGACAATGAAAGCAGTTTTTGTGATAATCGACGGATTTGAAGGTAGTCACATCATCGGTGATGGCGATACCCTTTCCACAGAGACTACACTCACTCCTTGCCATCTCTTCCTACTTGTCGACCTTGCTATATAGTACTCCTTGACCAATGTGTGTACGATCTGTGTAATCCCCTTGCTCTTGCTCTTGCTCTTGCTCTTGCCCTTGATCACCCTCACCCTCACTCTGCCAACCGAGCACCACACCGACAGAGCCAGGTCACTCACACACACACGCACACACACACGCACACACGCACACACCCTGGTGACGAAGGTGGTTGTGTGGTGGCCGGTGAAGGGGGGAGGGGGACTCGTGGTCTCCTCCTGTCCGAGTGAGAGTGAAGTGGTCTTCCCCCCCCCCCCCCCCCCCCCCCGGACGCGCATGGTTCGCATGGAGGGCGCAAAGGGCAGGCGGCTGCGCAAGGTGGGCCCGGCTCCCGAGGCGGCCACCGGAGACCGGCACGGGGCACGGACCGATGCCATGAGCAGAGACCTCGAAAGCAAGGCTTTGAGCAGCAGCGACGATTGTGCTAGTCAGTTGGCGGCGGATGATGGTGGTCGCTACGATGGTGCAAACGGCTCTGGTGGTGGCGGCAGCTCTGGTAGCGATGGCGGCTCTGGCGGTGACGGCAGCTCCGGCAACGACGGTGCCGAGCAGGCCACGCCGCCGACCAAAGCCATGTTCCTCTCCAAGCTCCGGCATCTAGCTATCTCCATCGTCCTCACTAGTATCGTTATGATCGTGGGCATGGTGCTGTGGGCCGAGGCCGAGGACGACACCAACGCCAATGGCCTGTACCTGGCGTCGGTTGTGCTGACCACAATCGGGTTTGGCGACTTGACGCCCAACACCACGACGGGCCGGATGGTCATCATTTTCTACAGCTGTATCGGCCTCGCTGTCGTGGGCTACACCATCTCATACCTCTCGGACATGTGCGCGTACTCGGTGCAGTCGATCACGACGCGACTCTCATTCGACTCTGCCTTTCTCGGCTCGACCGATGCCTACGTTAAGATCCGCCACGCTGACGTGGAGACCGACGTGGTGTTTGCCTCGCTCAATCCCGTCTTTCCGGCACAGACGTTTGACATCGATGCTCTGCCGCTGTGGCGCAACCCGGAAAAGGTGTTTTTGTCGGCGAGTTTGTCTCCTCTTCGTCCGAGCTCTCGTACTCGTCTGTCTCGTCCGAACTCTCGTCCTCAGCCGAGGCCGCCATGAAGGCTGCGATGCAGGTCGAGCTCTCGCTGACCGAGTTTGACGACAACGCGACGACCCCAGTAGCGACTGCTGACCACCGACGCGCGTTCCGCAAGCAGCGCCGACAGGCAACCCGACGCGAGCTCTTCCGCCAGTCATCGGCCGGCGACACTGTACCGGTAGTCCACTTTACCGTCATGGACTACGACCGGTTCACTGCCGACGACTTTATCGGCTCAGTCCAAATCCCGCTCGGTCTTGTGCGCCGGCGGTGGCGGACCTTGTCGCGGCCGATCATTCCCGACGACCACGACCTCGACAACGAGCTGCTGGAGGAACTCATCCGCTCGTCGCAACTTGTGGTCCGCCTCCGCTGGGCGTCTGCGGCCAAGAAGACTCTCCAGGTCCAGGTCGTCTCTGCACACTCGCTTCCCATCATGGATCGTGTCCACTTTCACAAGCTCCTCTCTGCCGCGCTCAATTTTACCAAGGAAGCCGTCCTTGCGCTCATCCTCCTCGGCATCGTGCTTGCCACCGGCGCTGTCGTCTTCTCACACACCGAGGGCTGGACTCTCTTTGAGGGCTTCTACTTTGCCTTTATCGCCATCTCGACAACCGGCTACGGCGACTTTGCGCCGACGACCAAGACCGGGCGGGCGGTTTTTGTGCCGTATGCGCTGGCGTCGGTAGCCGTCGCCACCTACGCCATCTCGGTTGTCCAGCACATGACGACTGCGCACGTCTTCCGCCAGTCGGTCAACGACAAGGCCGGAAGCCACGAGTCGATTTCTGGCCGGCCACTCTCGGACACGGTCGCGTACTCGCTGCGGTTTACCGAGGCCAAGCTGCGGTCGTCCAAGCTCGGGAAGATCCACCGCAAGGTCGACTCGTGGCTCGCCCGATTACCGCAGGGCGCCAAGCAGACGATCTTCCTTATCGCCACCATCACCACCTTTATGTCGCTCGGTGCCGTCTTTATGTCGCAGGTTGAGGGCTGGTCCTTTTTCGAGGGCCTCTACTTTGCGCTGGTCACTACCTCGACTGTCGGCTACGGCGACTTTTACCCGACCAAGACCTCGTCGCGGATCTTTGTCATGCTCTTTTCGCTCGTAGGGCTCGGTCTCATGACAACCACGGTGGCGTTTATTGCCCACTCGTCGGTGGAAAAGGCAGTTGCCAACGCCACAACGGCGGTCAACCGCAAGATCCGCCGCTGGCGAACGATCCACACAGAGGCGCTCCTAGCGCTAAACCGCCGCATCATCAACAACGAGGCCGCCGAGCCGCAGGTCAATGACGTGGTCCACGCCCTCGACTCGCTCGACGACGGCGACGAGGACGGGCTCCTCGACAACTACGATTTGGATTTGGAGGCGCCCGAGGATGCTGGGCCGCTGCGCGGCGAGCGTGGCGAGGGCCCGTCGTCCTCGCTCGACCTTCTTGTGCAGCACTTGCTGAAAGTGCTGCTCTCGTTCATCATCTTTGCGGTCCTCTGCTGCGCCGGTGGTCTTGTCTTTTACTTGCTTGAGGACCGGGACTCGATCGCCACCTACTTTGAGTCTGTCTACTTTTGCGTCGTCACCCTCACCACCATCGGGCTCGGCGACGTCCTTGTCGACAACGTCAACGCGCGCATCTTCCTCATGGTCTACATTGTGTTTGGCCTCGGTGTTTTTGTCTACGCCGTCACCAATCTGCAAAAGTCGTCAATCCTGGCCTTTGAGCAGGGCTTCCGCACCGTCTTTGTCCGCTACCAAAAGTGGCAGCACGCTATCTACGTCCGCGAGCAAGCCCTCGCCGCGCGAAGAGGCGAGCTGAGCTTGGATGAGCTCGAGAGCGAATCTGATGCTGCCGGCATGGGCGCCGAGAATCGAGTGCTGGACCGCCGCCCGCCCAGTATGCCCAGGAGTGCGTCGACGACCGTCGCTGCTGCAAGAACGCTGGACGACTTGCCGGCCGTGCAATCGGGTGCCAGCCTGCAGCCGTCGGTCTCGCGCTCGACGTCGCGGTCGACCGTCGGCTCGAGCGTGACAAGGTAAAAAGCCGCATCCGACCCCCAAGTGGGAAGCGTTCAATGAGTAGGCTAGGCGCGGACGATCTTGCGCATCTTCTTCTGCCGCTTCTTGGCCTCCTGGCGCTCGAGCTTGGCGCGGTAACGCTCCTCCTCCTCCGGCGTCATCTTGGCCATGGCAGCCTCCTGACGGGCCTTTTCGGCGCGGATACGGGCCAGCTTCTTCTCCTGGATGGCCTCGGCCTTCTCCTCGGGCGTCATAGTGACGGCATTGGCAGCTTCGCGAGCAGCAGCCATGCGCTTGCGCATGGACGTCGAGATCCGGATCGCCGGAAGCGCATCCACCAACTCGCCAAGGAGCATGCCGAGAATGGTGGCGTCGGCATCAAGCTCAGCCGGCGGCATCTTGTACACCATGTGAACAACGGAGCGGTGCTTGAGCGACCACGGCGACTCATCGGTAATGTGGAGGAGCCACATGTAGTTGCTAAAAGTGTTGAAGACGTTGGTGATCGAGTCGGAGACAACGATGGGCGCAAGGCCGTGGTCCTCGGAAGCAACAACAAACGAATCTGGCAGCTTCCGCAGCTTGCTCGACTTGGTGTACGCCTTGA